CTCTTTCGCCACGACAGAACCGCTTTTCCGTTGGTGACCACTTGCTTCACGAATAATGTCCTGAGCAGCTCTCGATAACTTGAGTTTAGGACCAGCATTCGAATAATCAGCAAAACATTGGTCACACGATTTTTCCCACCATTCTGTAACAAATCGAGTCGTACGGTGAATTTTGTCGGCAATCCATTGTCTATTTATAAATGTTGCACCAGCATCACGAGCTTCTCGGAAAGTAATGCATTTAATTCTATCAATCATTCTTTGTTGTTCGGTATCATAAGCGCCAGCCATTTGAAATAACAAACGAAAAAACACTGAGATTTCACTCGACTATAACTTTCAGACAGTCCGAGAACGAAAAAATTTTTCAAATAACTAGTATCACGTGGAGAGAAGAACAGAACGCCAAAGAACCATCTTATTGTGTGAGTCATAGTCATATATCATCATCGTTATCATTTCTCTTTCGTTTTCATAAAAAATGTTCGTTTTCAATGTCTCAAAATGTATGAAAAATGATTTTTAACGTGTTTTTGAAAGAAAATTTCGTTGTTTTTAAAAATTTGGTACACGAAAGTTCTTCAAAGTCTTACTATTTACTATCACTAAACCCCATTTTTCACGGGCTTTCATTTGGTATAAAATTCATGATATCTCCGATTCGAGATCATACTGTTACCCCCCTGGAATAATATTATTTACCACCCTGTATCGTCCAGTATGCGACTATTTTACATTCGATCAAAAATATTTTTATATATAGGTAACCTCTGGATTCTTCTCTTTCAAACGATATATTGTTGGTCTTTCATTCTTCATGTTTTCAGAGTGAAATTTTTGGTCTATGAGAAATACCTGTACCTGACATAATTAGATAGTAGTTTCCTAATCCTGACGACCAGCAAAAAAATTGCCCTAATTATGACGCTTCTAGCAAATTACACAGAAAAACTCAATTTTAGGGCAAAAACTATTTTTTTCACGTTGTTGATGAGAGATGAAGGGGAGGTGTCTGAGACAGTTTTGTGAAGCGGCTCAGCCTCTGTCATAATCTAAAGATTCATGACAACTGTATTTTTCTTTATCAAGATACAGACCTTGAAATGAAGACACCTAAGGGTAATGGAAAAACAGTTGCCCCTAATTCTGACGCCCAGCTATTTTTTGTCTTTAATCCTGACGATCCAGTCAATTTTTGTCCCTAATTCTAATGTTAGCTATATTTTGTTCCTAATTCTAACGATCACTGTTTTTATCCCTAATTATGATTTTTCAGTCATTTTTTGTTCCCAATTACGACGGTAACGTTTGTTTTTGTCCTACATTATAACAGTCAACTATTTCTGTGATGATAATTCATTACAAAATTAGTATACATGTATACTAATTTTGTAATGAATTATCATCACAGAAATAGTTGATTGTTATAATGTAGGACAAAAACAAACGTTACCGTCGTAATAGGGAACAAAAAATGACTGAAAAGTCATAATTAGGGATAAAAACAGTGATCGTTAGGATTAGGAACAAAATATAGCTAACATCAGAATTAGGGACAAAAATTGACTGGATCGTCAGGATTAAAGACGAAAAATAGCTGGGCGTCAGAATTAGGGGCAACTGTTTTTCCATTAGCCTTAGGTGTCTTCATTTCAAGGTCTGTATCTTGATAAAGAAAAATACAGTTGTCATGAATCTTTAGATTATGACAGAGGCTGAGCCGCTTCACAAAACTGTCTCAGACACCTCCCCTTCATCTCTCATCAACAACGTGAAAAAAATAGTTTTTGCCCTAAAATTGAGTTTTTCTGTGTAATTTGCTAGAAGCGTCATAATTAGGGCAATTTTTTTGCTGGTCGTCAGGATTAGGAAACTACTATCTAATTATGTCAGGTGCAGGTATTTCTCATAGACCAAAAATTTCACTTTGAAAACATGAAAAATGAAAGACCAACAATATATCGTTTGAAAGAGAAGAATCCAGAGGTTACCTATATATAAAAATATTTTTGATCAAAAGTAAAATAGTCGCATACTGGACGATACAAAGAACGGTAAAATTTTTCCGACAGAATTAGGGAAATGTACTGTACTATTGTAGGTATGAATAATACATGGCAATATTGAGAGTTAGGCAAAATTAAGCCTAGATTTTGAAAATTATACAGTGAATTTCAGGTGAAGAGTTTGCTAGTCTTTTTCTATTTAAATCATCATTAAAATTAGGAAGATGTAGAGCTTGCTAGCTTTTCTATTGAAATCACTGTTAGATTTAGGAAGATGTAGAGTTTTGTAACCGCTATTCAAATGTGGTGATGTTAAGCTAAAATGTGTATATTATATAGTCGTGCTTTTTGTAACATATGAGCAAGTGCTGTTTATTGAACTTGGATAAGTTCATGCGCTGCGAATTAGTTTTAGTAGCTGTTTGAGTTTTATTTTTATTTTTTTGTGTTTATCGTTGATAGAACTTATGAAAGTGATCGCCTGTAAGTAATTTTTACTATATCTAGTGTTGTTTTCAAAATGTAAAGATGTAGTATCGATTCGCAGGTTGATTGTAAGGAAAGAATATGGCATAAGCAAAAACGGAAAAAGGCAAGGACGAAAAAAAAGTATAACAAAATGAGAATAAAAAAATAGATAACATATCATTAGTAATCATATAGCTTGAGAATAGTTTGGTTTTTTTATTAAAAATAATAATCATAAAAGGTAGACATCAATTGTTTTTTCTTAACCATAACTTTACAGATGATCAGTTACATGTCATTCTTAATATAGGAAAACAAGAGGTATTCATCAAACAATCGATACTGTATGATGTTTATTGGCAGACACCCTATGTTAAGCATTGAATTCGCGAGTAATTTCTGATATGAAAAAGAGTTTTTTGTCTTCAGTCGGACTTAAAAAATAGTATTGCAAAAACGAAAAAATAAATAAATAATTTATAGTTTGACAATAATTTCTTTTATGTATAAAACTTTGTGTCTGTTAGTTTAACCTCCAACGTGTATCGTATCTGTTATATCTGCGCAAAAATTATTGATATGCTAATTAATGAAATAATCAAGTGATCTACCGAAATTTTTGAATGCAAATAATAATTAGAAATCATTTCTGAATTAAAAAAAATGCAGCTAAAATTATGCGCCTAATAAAAAATCAATTTTGTCTAAGTTATATTTTGTCTGTGACATATATTTTGAGAAGATTTGAGTTTTTTGTTTTTAATGAAATAAATTTTTTATTTATCTGGTCTATGTCCTCAAACTTATTATGCTATTGGTGATTATTCTGGCTCATTATGTGACGATAGATACTTAAGTGCTGAAGAACGTCAAAATCTTGCACAAGTGGTAAAAAGCAATTCACGTGTATCTATCGAAGAGAGATTATAACAGTAATTGAGACTCTAGAGCAGTGTTCAAGTTCAGATTTAGGAAATGTTCACCTGTGAAAGGTGTCTACCACTAGAGATTTCACTGAATGAAAAAAAACGACATAAAAAAAAAATCCATAAATTTATTCATAATGAAGTCGACAAATGACAGAAATAGTTGGAGTACGTAGTATTTCTACTCGAACGCACATTGTTCTTCTTTTTTTTCTCGTTTTGTTTGTGAGCATCAGAGCCCACGCGAAGGATCAAATATTATGGGGGTGTAAGGAAGTATTTTCAGAAAAATCTTGCAGAAAAATCATGACATATAGACAAAATCTGCTTTTATGGTCGGATAAAGCTGAAAATTTTTGATTTTTTTGGAGGGGGAGGGGGGGAAGGGGATGTACACACCCCTACACCTCCCCGCTCGTGTGGGGACTGGTGAACAGCACAACCTTTCAATAAACAAATGAGAAATATCACAGGTCGCATGATTGATTGATTCACACTGACTCTATGCCTTCAAAACAAATCTTCAGTTGATATCTCTGTAAAGCAAGACAACAATCATAATAATTAGAACGCGATATTATCTATATGTAATGATGACTGTATCTATTTTTTTCTCACTTCAGTATTTTCTTTACCAATTAGATCATCATTAATAAATGCAACGTCTATCTGTATCAGTGTTGATTTCATTTTTGGTACTCATCATCGTATCAATTACATTTGTCTGGAATGAACAATCATGTTCACAAATACCTTTAATTCTTACTAATGATTGTCATTTATCATTAATTGAAAGTGATCATTTTATATGTGAATCAAATAATATTTGGAATGAACGGAAAATTGTGTATCAAACACAAGATAAAGAAAACATGATGAAACGTCAAAGCAATATCTTTTTTCTATCGAATTGGGAACCAAATTTTCATTGTTCTCATGCAAGACGAATAGGTCAGATGGGTGATGGTGGTAAATGGGTATGTGATCCTTATCGATTGAAATCTCGATTAGATTGTTTAGTGTACAGTGTTGGATCCAATGGTGATTTTAGTTTTGAAATCTATATGAAAAAAACTATGCTACATTGTGAAATTCATACTTTTGATTTAAATCTATATGTTTGTCCAAAAGATATTTGTATATTTCATCAAATTACATTTGGAAATGGTATTAATCCAAAAGGTTCCAAAAATTGGACAACTATTCTACAAGAATTGAATCATATTCAACGAAAAATTGATATATTGAAAATTGATATTGAAGGTGGTGAATATATATTTTTTCCTCTACTTATGCAATCACCAGCAAGTTCTCTACCACAACAAATACTCGTCGAGATTCATCCGAATGATCCCGATACAATTCATGCATTTTTTGAACTCTTTCGAAAACATCACTACGTCATCTTCAACAAAGAACCAAATCTTCTTATTGGACATCAATTTTTTGAATATGCCTTCTTAAAATTGAATCCATCCTTTTTCAATTCTTTGCCTATAATTTCTCGAAAGAAGTAGAATAAAGTGATCAGAAATGAATCAAATTTTGGATGAATCAGAGTTGAATTCATATAGTTCAGTCTCTTTCACTGTACTATAAAAAGAATTTTCAATAGATATTATTAATCATCGAATTAAATTGTTTCAAATTCAAGTTTGATTTTATAATTTTTTCTTTTCTCTTTTTTTCGTCTCATCGTCTAGATTATTTGCTTAAAATCGTATAGCATAATATTGTATGCTGTATGATTTCATTAATTGAAATTCATATTGAGAAACACGGAGTTCACATACATATGATTATTGTACGTTGGGTACATGTAGACTCTGGTGAAGATATTCGTCAAGTCAGTCCTTAAAAAGTATTCACGCTAGAAACTATCACCAGTATTTCTGCTAAAATCTGAGTCTAACAATTAAGTTCTCTCATCGTGTAATATTGAATGTTTCTTCACTACTCTTATCTACAATTATGCATATATGTAAATGACAAAATTTCTTTTGTATTTATTATTTGAAGAAAAGATGGTAGAATCGTTGGTATTCATCATTCGAGAAGATTAAATAAATATTAACAATGAATTTGAGTCTGAATTAAGACTCTGTCTCTAGAGCGTAATTTGATAAAAGCTTCTAGCTATTTACCATTTAGAATATTACTTGGGTCCGAATTCTAGTCGTGATTCAGTTTCTTTTCTTTACGTTCCATTATTTTCAAGTGATGAATAACAAACGTCCTACCATCTTTTACTTGAGTACTCCTATCTAATATTTGTATATCTAGTGGTTTAAGTAATGTATTCACAAGTCTTTACTGCATTCAGTATTGTCGTACTGCGCATCCACTTTTTTTGGACATAAAATGAAATTTAAAAAAAAACACCAACACAAGTAAAATCTCATATACTCTTCTATAAAATTTTGGAATCACAATGACCATGTTTTTTGCTCCTGTTACTTCAAGATGTGCTGCGTTCGATCTAGCTGAAAAATGTTTTACATATGCTAGACACTTTTTCGGCATGGTATTATTTTTTTAATTTCCTTTTAATATTTGTTCTTCGAATAAAAAACATAACGAAAATCGGAGGTACACTGGAAAAAATATCATATTTTTTTAAAGCTTTTTTTGTAACAGCTACCAAAAATCAGAAGAATAATATTTGTTGAAATAGAAAATAATCCCTACACAAACTGTTTAGGGAGTGTATCAGTTCGTAACGAAAAAATTTACAGGGCTTTCGTATCGAATTTTGACAGGGCTTTCGTATAAAAAATATACAGGATTTTCCTATCAAATATATACAGGACTTTCGTAACTAAGTTCTATATTGTATTCATAACCGGATTCAAAGGCTAATATTCCTTAAACAACAGGGTAATCGTTGCGAATACTCTTTCTTCGAAATATCTGTGAAATCAGTTGATGTGATTCATCTGTAACAACTGTTATATACCTATATGGTCCAAATAGGTAGTGCTATCCTGTGAGTTAATCATCTGTATACATTTATGGGTGTCGCTATATTTCTATGGCTGAACAGGGGATTATATCGTTAAAAACAATGGAGTAATAGATTGACCATTAGCAAATAAATAGATGTTTTCTCTCTGTCCTTTGTAAATCAAGTGTGGTCTTAACAAAGTCACCACCACTAGTGTACTGATGGTGAAATCGATGAAAAATGTCTCTAATAATAAGGTTACTCAAGCACCAAAACCTGTTCTGAAAAGTATTCAAACGTAAGACAACCTGCCTTTATAGCTCCTTGATTTTTTTATTCAAAAAAACTATCTTCATCTACATTCTTCTTCAATGTTTAGACGTTCTGCTAATCTCCAATGATATCCTGTCAGAAGTTATTATTAGAGCTCATACTAGCGCTCACACTAGCTGCCTTTTCGTTACGATAGCCCTGTCAGAACGGTACGAATGCTGTGTAAAAATCCATACGAAAGCTCTGTAAAATCGATAGAAAGGCTCTGTAGAAATGATACGAAAGCCCTGTCAAAACGATACGAAAGTCCTGTAAAGTTTTGATACGAAAGCCCTGTCAAAATTTGATACAAAAGCCCTGCTTTTTTATGAATTTTTACAGGGCTTTCGTAACCTACCGTTACGAATCGTTACGTTCCCACTGTTTAGTATATGTGACAAAAAAAGTTTAAGTTCGATCATAAGTACTATACTGGAGAAGCGAAGGTGTTTCTGCACTTCTTTTGAGAAAAAAAAATGAGAAGTGATGTGCAGTTTTCGTTACATAATTTGATTTCTTCTCGAGTTTATTAATGTATAAAGACACAGTTTGAGTCTCAAAATTTACTCAATAGATAGATATTACTTGAAAGCATACAATGACTTCAAAAAACTAAAAATAAAATAACCAAGAAGTTTGTGTAAGCAAAGCAAGGAAATACTCTCTTGAAAAATTATTTTTTAACAATTAGTAATTTCATTATTATAGTTCTATTATTAGAAAAATCAAGCGATTTCTCGACAAAACTAAATAAAGCATGACAATTTTAGTTTCGAAAAGTAATCGATGCATTCTCATCTATAAGTTGACCCTTTAGAAATATTTCTTGTGATTTTCAAACAACAGTGTGTCTGATCTCAATTTGAGCAATACCCAGCTAGTAGATGACGAAAAATTCTAAAGAAGAACGACCATACTCTTAGTAGATATATTCCTGTAAAGAAATAAGACATTTAAAACATGATCCCTAATCATTCATGAATAGAAAATAATCTCTGATGATAAAGGAAGAAAAGTGACATTGTCAAAAAGTTCCTTTATACTCTTATGATGATAAAATTCTGAAAAGCTGATAGATTGTATATAAATCAGATTTCATTCGTTCATAATGCCATAGAATATTTCCTTGTACTTCACTGAAATTAAATCAAGACACTGTTGAAATTAATAAACAGTTGAATCAATTGAAGACGAACATGGCTTTGATGTAACTAATGTCCGCGCCAGAATTAAAGAAGGGTTAGTGTAAATTGAATAACTCAACAAGGGCCACAGCTATGGACCTACGGTTTTCACCACTCGAAAGAGGAAACCGGGGGACGTATTTTTTCACGATATTGTTTAGGACAAAATTGCTTTGGACACTGTCATTACTGAAAGTCTTTTCTGAGAAGACGTACAAATGGTATTCCAATACAATGAATTTTTATTTTGATATTGTCATTAGATAGAGGGACTTCAGATCTATAGTTCAAGATACAATGCGCTTTCTTACTTTTCATTACATTTTCATCGAAATGTCAAGCTATTATGATAAAAAGTGCGAAAACTTAGCAAAAAATCAGCAAAATTCTCTGTTATTTGCGCATGTAAATACATGATTCCATTTGCTCAACATTAGAATATAATAAGAGAACCATTTGCATTGTATCTTGAACTATAGATCTGAAGTCCCTCTATCTAATGAGAATATCAAAATAAAAATTCATTGTATTGGAATACCATTTGTACGTCTTCTCAGAAACGACTTTCAGAAATGACAGTGTCCAAAGCAATTTTGTCCGAAACAATATCGTGAAAAAATACGTCCCCCGGTTTCCTCTTCCGAGTGGTGAAAACCGTAGGTCCCTAGCTGTTGCCCTTGTTGAGTTATTCAATTTACACTAACCCCTCTTTAATTCTAGCGCGAATGTTAGTGATCGTAATCATAGTTTCCTTTCAAGTTATTTTTCAAATATCTGTTTGTAGTAGAGAATTGAACATGAACAAACAACAAAAATGTCATTAGTCTTCTCCGTTTTGTTACTATTGTTCTTACGAGTGACATTTCAAAATCAAAGTTCAACAACAAAAAATACTTCCAATCCTGGGAAATTTTTTTTTTTACAGATCAAATAGAGTTAGGACACAAGTAGAAGTGTCTGTATTTGTTTTAGCTCTGCTATCAAAGTCGAACGAAATTGATATAATACGTATTCAAGCTGGATAAAGGATGTCATAATATCTATAACTCGGGTATCAAAATTCAAAATATTCTTATTGGGATACAAAGCTAATGAATTTCTCATATCCATATGCTACTAAATTATCGACTTTGAGTAAAGTAGATGTAATGAAATGGATAATCAACTCAAATCTCATATATCTCTAGAGTTCAAAATATAAAGATAGGGGTGTGGGAGTTGATCTTCAATATACCCACATCTAAATATTAGAAAAACCGTCAAAGAATGTGAGCCTTGAGTTTTAAAAGCTATCCTATTGATTAGTAGAATTCTCTGGGAAGTTATACCAGCAAATATAACAAACACATTAGCCATTCTTCTCAATTAATAGATGATTAATTCAGAAATGCTTCAAAAGTAATCAAAGATTAAATACCAGTCTGAGCATTCACAATAAAATAATATTGTTATTTCCATTAAAAAAAAACAATGTGAACATTGTTCGAGATTTTGATTGCTTTTTTGAAAAAGATCTGGTGTTTCGATTAAATGCTGTGCAAAAACTATACAAATAAGTTTGTGAAATATAAAATTTTTAATTTTTATAACAATTTTTTTAAAATGTCTCAATCAAATATCTATTAGTTAAAAATTCTTCCTTAAATTACTAAACTTTTCAAAGAACCACAATCAACAGTAAAAAAGATATTCTACACCAAAAAAAAAAAAATCTGTATTCACTTCTTGTGATTAATTATCAGAACTTAAATTCAAAGGACGAAATTAGTTTATTTCTTTTTTGTATTTAAATTTGGTTTATATTGTGTATTTATTTATAAAATAAATAATATATTTTGTACTTCGAGATGAGAGAAGAACAGTTATTAGCAATACAGAATTGTCAGTTGACGATGATTAACTAAAATCAAACCAGTAAGAAGAATCCAATAATTTCTGACATATTCTATCGGAAGTTATCGGATCTGATAGTGAGAAAATGTCGGAGTTTATATCATCGTCCTTTTCTTAACGTCTTCCTCTAATACGATTCACCAAAAATTGACAGTTTTAATATATTTTATTTTAATTTGTTATAACTTAAAATTGTTTAATAATAAATTATAAAAAAAAAATAGAACTATCAATTTGTACACATTTATGATTGACTTCATGCCATGACAAAAATTCGTATTAAAAAGACAAAATAAAAGAATTTACGAATTGTTGAATTGATTGCATTATATTATCTAAAGTAAAAACAAAAAATAAATTACATTAGACTAATTTTTGATTGACTTCATATCATAAAATAATCTGAATTAAAAAGAAAAAAAAAAAAAAAAACAACCTGACGGTTCATTCAACTCATACTATGTTATAGTCTAAAATAAAATAAGATAGAAAATAATAACTTACTATTATGTTAAGTTGATTTCCGTAACATAATTTTAAAAACAATTATACTCATTTTTAAATAATTTTGAATCAAAATTAAAAAAAAAAATAAAATCAACAAAATTTAAATTATTATTATTGATTAAATTAAAGTAAATATTTTTTATCTGAATTATTGAAAATTAATTTCCTATCGCCATTAAAAAAAGATATTACAATTGAGATATTACAATTATATCAGTAAGTGATTTGTATATTAAAAATAAGATTTTTATACTGATAATCAAAACTAATCTTGATTTTCCTAAGGCTATTTTTCATCATGTAGTGACAATAAATTACCAAAAACAAAAATGTCATCCATAAACTTTATTCGAATCCATACAATGGCAAAACTTCTTTTGTTTTTATCTCTCTCTTTCTTGTATATTTTTTTTTTCTTTTATATTTGTTACAATGTGCAATCAAAAATAAATTTTGTCATATTAACATAGATATCTATCATTCAAAATAAACCTTCAGAAAAAAAAAAAAAGCATATAAATAATTGTACAGCTAATTCTAAATTATACTATGAACTAATTAAATGAAAAAAGTTTTTATAAATATATTCGAAATAAATTCTTTATCTTTTCATTGAAATTAAATATTATTCTTTAAATTAAACATCAAAAGAATTATTAACATGATTTAATTACTATTTTTAATCATAGTAAGATTATTTTATTGAATCTATCTGTAGTCATACTTCACTAGTCGTCTTTCATTTAATCTTCTAGAAATACAATAAAGAGAAGGGTGGGGAGAGAGTTGTTCTTTTTCTTTTTTTTTTTTTTTTGGCTTTGTCTAACAAGCTGTTCTTGATATACAATTGATGATAGTGTCTGACTAGCGTTTGTCACGGTTTATGAGCAGAGGATAAAGGGGTTTAATTACATGGTTATTGCTAAATTTTAACATTCATTTTCAATTGCAAATTAGTTTCTAATGAATATAATTTCTCAATTTTAAATTTAGTAGATTATAAAAATATTTTAGATTATAATTTTTAAATATGAATTTCTCATAATAAATGTTTCACATAACCAAAAAAAAAAAAAAGAAGATGTTTTTGATTACAAATTTTTTTTTTGTAAAACGAAGATTATGAAATTAAAAATTTGATAGATTTTTCTATGTTATCGTTTGAAAACTTTATTTTATTCATAGAAAATATTAAAATAAATGAAGAAGTCTATGAAACTTATCATATAATTTTCCAAGTTCATCCATGTGTTGTTTGTTATAATTACAATCAACACATAAACCACTTCTTTACGCATCATTTACTTTTATTTTATCCTTGTTGACGTTTAACATCATTGAATCATACATATTCTCTATAGAAATCTATATAATACGATAAAACATATAGACCATGATAAAAAAAAAAAAAAAAAAAAAAAACTGATAATCCAATGACAAAACATAGCAAACCTACTGCGTAAAAAAAAATGAGACAACCAATACATATATTATTTTCAAGGCCTTCAAAATAGAACAAAAGAAAAAAATCAACGTTCTTTTATTCGATAAAAATACGCTTGTAGAAAGGTATATAATACTATGACTATAATGTATTACTATCCAGTTAAGCTTGTTTGGTATTAATATTTATCATCATTCGTTTCAAATATGCCTAAAGTAAGGGTACCAGTGCATCATTCAGTAGTACCACCACCACGACCACTACTACCACCACCACCACCCCCTGCTCCTAGTCGTGGGTAAATAAATCAAATTTAAATATTTTATTTTATTTTATTTATTTCTATTATTTAATTGAATAGAGGAGGTTTACTTGCTGGTCCACTCTTACTTTTCTGTTGTCCGTTAATTGTTCTTTTCTTAGCAGCTGCTACTATTGTTCTTTCATTAATACCAGTTTATGTAGAAAAAAGCGTGCCTGTTGTAGGTATGAATAATATGTATATATGGAGAAGATTTGACTTTTTTTTTTTTGTTTTTAATGAAATAAATTTTTTATTTATTAGGTCTATGTTCTCAAACATATTATGCTATTGGTAATTATCCTGGTTCATTAGGTAACGATAGATATTTAAGTGGTGCAGAACGTCAAAATCTTGCACAAGCGGTAAAACCAAAAAAAAAAACCAAAATAATTTTTTAAGTTATAAAATTTGTAAAAATTTATCTATAATTTATAGATGGAACAACAACTTCATTTACGATCTGGTTCAATAGTTATTGAACAAGCTGCAATTGCAACAACAGCACAAAAACGTAAACGACGAGGATAGTGTGTATTTTTGCAATAAAAAACAAAAATATATTAAATATTTTTATCTTTAATTTTTTTCTACAGTGATCTTACACGATTTCGTCGTGGTCAAACAGCTCTTGGTATTCAAAGACTTTATGTAATCTTTCGAATCAATCAAAGAAGAAGCATATCATGTAAATTACGTAGTAATAGCCTTTCTGGAACTACTGCACTTGGAGTTCCTATGGTTATAAATATTGGTACCACACGTATGTTAAACATATTATATGTATAATAACCAATTAAATTTATATCTTTTTTGTCATCTTTAGCTTTTGTAATTCCACCATTTGTAACTGCTACTGTCGTAAGTCCAACAGGAGGCGCAGGTGGCACGGGTGGCAATCCTACAACAAATGTAATTGGATAATTTTACTCAAAAGACGTTCATTATACACACACACACACATACACACACACACATCTATACACACATACTTATTTTTTTCTCGAACAATACTTTAAAATAAAGATAGCCTCATATAATAAAACATATATCATAAATCAAACTGTTTGTCATGTTTGCATAGATATTGTACGTTGAATTAATAAAAAAAGTTATATTTTTATTGAAGAAAAAAAAAAAAAAAAAATCTACTATTATTTATCATTATAACACTTATTGAAAAGAAAAACATAAAAAGATTTAAACAATCCCTTGTTCAGTTTTTTTTTGTTTCCTTTTTATTCCGAAATAAAAATTTGTTTTCCTCATACTCTTTAGTTACTTGATCGATTTAGCCACTTATTTACATGAATACCTATATTATTAGGGTATACATATCATATTTGATTTTACATCCAATAACTTTCGATCTACTGCTTATTATCTATTCAGGTAAGCCTATTCAAGGACGATTAAGTGTCCTTAGATAGAAAAAAACATAACCATTATTACATTGTATGACAAACAAACAAAAGAGACATGACAAAAATTATCGAATAACAAAATTTTTTCTTCGTTAACTGACGTTTCATATGCACATAAAGAAATATGAATAGAATATGTCAAAATAATGTGAAAAAAAAAAAGTTCATATGAATATATTTTAAGCAATTTAATTGCTTGTTTTTTTTTCTTTTTATAATATGATAATATATTTGTTTTAGTTTTAATTCATATAATTTGAATTTATAACAAATATTCAAAACGATTATATATACATATAATCTATCCTTATTAAGATGATTTAGAAAGATTTTATATTTTCGAGTTAATTTATTCCGTTAGAGATTATTCATAAAGAACATTCAGTAGAACCGATCAGGTCCATAATTTCCAGATTTGAACGAACCAGAATTTTTAGACCAATGAGCAACCTTTTTTTGATGTCGAAAAAAAGAAACGATCGGCAAGGTTTTTATTGATAGGCGAAAAAAAATCTTTTGACCCAACAAAGTATTGCTGATAACGATAGAAAAAAAAAAGAAATGAGGTTCTTTTAATCAAATATGTATCAAACTGATATCTTACACCTAAGTCAGATGTATTTTCGTCTATTTTTTAATGATTCTGTTTATTACATTTATATTTTCAAATCAACACGATGATGACTCATTTGTGTATATAATTTAAATATTTCATCTAGATTTATATCAAGATGTTTTTAAATATATGCAGTAGAAAGTTCGTTTAATCTATTTTATTTCATTTTCAATCGACAATATAACTTTCAATTTTCAATAATTGACTAAAAGTTTTTTCAACAGAATCTATTGATATAATACAAAAAAACGTTTCTTTTCTTAATTCTTCATAGAACAAAAACAAGTAAAGAGTGCATGTATGATTTAGATTAAAAAAAAATATAGTTACTATCTAATTGAAAAATAAATAAACAATTCTAAAGAAGTAAAATGATATGAACAATTATCCATTTGCCTTACCCTTGATTACGCCACTAGATCGAATCATACTTTGATACCGTCAATGGATTTTTCTTATCCGAATTAGGCAGTCGCTTCAAAGATACAAGTTACACTTTTTTATATTCGGTGACTAGTACACCGAACAAATTTTTCAGATTACTAAAGCTGAAATTGGTACAAAATTTTTAGATTCGATTAACAATCTTTGCGAAGTTTTTATTGCTTAAAATTCATAGAATTTTAATGAGTAGAAAATCATTAAGAGCAAAAATAAATAAAGTTCAAGAACTAATAATACTCAAACATCTCATTATACTTAGGGCAAACCAAAAGTTCGTAGAACGATGTTTAAAGAACCTTGTCGGATAAGGTAATCTATTCAGAAATCAAAAATCAAATATACCATGTTGTAGAGCTTTTTGAGGCGCGTCGAATGGTATATAATAAATCCTGTTCTCATAAGATTTTGAAGGAACTAGAGACAATTTACTGATAGACGACTACGCACCCATACTCATACTCTCACCTAAGTACTGAATATTGTAGTCCTTGGGATTAATCGAAAGTATTTGTAAAATATTTTTTCTCACATACGATTTTGCAGAGTTTTTGATGGGCCACAACCTCATATATATAGCATCTCTGGTCATCTTGTCAGTGTGGGTATGGATGTGTAGTCGTCTATCAGTAAATTGACTCTAGCTCCTTCAAAGTCTTATGAAAACAGGATTTATTATATACCATTCGACGCGCCTCAAAAAGCTCTACAACATGGTATATTTGATTTTTCATTTCTGAATAGGTTATCTTATCCGACAAGGTCCTTTAAACACCGTTCTACGAACTTTTGGTTTATCCTAAGTAGAATAATCTTGAAATATTTTTATACTGTATTTAGATTTTATTAATTGATGTAATTCATTTTTGTATTTAAAAATTGCTCTTTAAAACAAATTAATCTTGAAAATTTCATCGAAAGTTGTATGAAAAAAAAAATAACAAGAAAAATATTTATAGTAAGTTTATCGACATTCTTTATGAATTATCTTTTATTATTATCAATTTCAAAATAGAAGAAAAGTAGATATTAATAGAAACAAGATAAAAATCTGTGGTTTTTATTGTTGAAATCAGATTGAATCATATATATCAAACTTTTCTGACAAATTTTCTCAACGTTTGTAATATAAAACCATAAAGATTTTAATTATCACGAGTACATTAGATAAAAATCTACAAAAATATGTAAGTTTTTGATGTTATAAAATTCAAATATTTCACAAAAAAATTAACTTTTTTTTTTTCAATGAAAAATTTCATCTTATAAATCTATTTTAAAAAAAAAACTACACGATTCGATGTAGTTTTATCTTTTCTTCTAAACAATGAAAACTACAGATTTTCTATTCTTATTCGTATTAAAAATTATTTCAAAAATATTCATTCTTCTTTTATTTTAAAATTCAAACAAATATTTTTTTTTCAAATTGTTAATATTTTAGAATATTAATAGATAAAATTTAAATATTTGAATTCATCAAAAGACATTAAGTCATAATCTAATCTGATATTATTTTGAAAGATGAAACAGATGATTACAATAATTCAAACATTCGTTAATAATATATTATTGACAAGTATTATAAAATTTCATCTATTTTGTAATCTATGAAAGAACGTTTTTTTTGAAAATATTCAAAATAAAACATCAAAAAATTTATATATATATAATTATGTAAATTGTATATATTTTATTCTCGTATATTTTTAGAGATAAATTGATGATTAATACGATATTAATAATTTGAATTGAATAAAATAAAAAAACATGATTTATTATGTTTAGAACGTACGTAATTTGTCTTTAGTCATGACTTTTCTGTTTTACACGTCATTAACTTATAAAACAAATAATATTAGTAATAGAAGATCTAAATTCATGATAATTCTTTATTGTTTATAAAAAATTATATATGCATTAACAAAAAAAGAATATGTGATTGATCATTTGTATATGTTTTGTCTTTTGAATATTTATTTTAAAGTCATAACTATTATTTTTTGTAGACATGAACCTTCTTATAAAGAATATTGTCATTATTATTTTATGATAATTAGATTATTTTGAAAAGTTTCAATGATGTTTAAAACAAAAATATTTTACTATATTTTAACAAATATTAATTTTTTCAAAAAAAATAAAAAGACCTTCTTAAAGTGAATGCTTTTTAAACATCTGTAATGTGTATTATAGAAAGCTTATATTGTATATAATTTTTAATTTGTTTTTTTTTTTACAAATATTAAATCAATACGTGTCTTATACCTGCAAACAACAACATCTTGTAGTATATGTTTATCAATATGTATTTTTAATATATAATTTAGTCGAAACAGGGGCGACGCGAGCGGGGGAGGGTACCCCCTCCCCCCCGCTGCTTTTGAAAAATTTCGTTTTTTTTTGTTCAATGATTACCTCAAAATTTGTTTTTTTTTCACATTTTCTCCCATCCCCCCCCCCCCCCCTTCCTGCTTTGACCTCTTCGCACCGTCCCTGTGTCGAAAATAAAAATGTATTTTCGATATTTTTCTCTTTCGACTAAATTCAGGAGAATCATTTTGAACATATAGAAGGAATTTCTAGACTAGAACAATTCCAAGAGTATTCAAATCTATGAATTTTCTCCTTCTAAGACATTGAATAATAAAGCAATTTTGATCATATTATAAATAAAAAGATACTAGAAGCTAAAAATTTTTTGATAAATTTATTTGATCATGAATATATTATTCTAAAGTTTTTGAATATTTAATTCATCTTTATATGTCATAATCAGTTTTTTTTTCGTAAACAAAATATTTTCACTGACACATTAGTAAGGAAGTGAGAGAAAAAATAAAACAAATGATTGTTGTACACCTTTTATTACCTTATATTATATCTTGCGACCGTGACAATTATTATTATTGTGAAACAAAAAAAGTACATTATGCAGTACGTCCTATGTATGGACCTTTGTTGTTTGATATTTTGTTTTTGTTTTTTTTTGTATGCTCTCTTGTAACAAGAATGATGACTAATCCTAGAAAAATTTCAGAACTACTAGTCAATCGAAATGTTTAAAATTGAACAAACAGATTCTTGATGATCAAAAAACAAATCTATACAAGGAAGATATTGACAATGTTTTTTCGATAACATCTTGTACAAAAATCAAATCAAATAATCATGACAATAACGATTTCAGTAATTTCGAATATAAAAGTATTAATTCCAAAAAAAAAAACAATGGAATCAAAATCTAAAGTTACAAGTTGAAATTCTAGTAATACTATTTTAAAATAAGAAATAGAAACTGTCAATTCGATCAATAATAATAAAAATATTTCGGAAAAAAAAAATTTATTTTGTTCAAATGATGATTTATATTTAATTTTTTCTTTTATAATAATCAAACTCAAAAATTTCGAGAAATTAATTTTAAATTCAAATTCTTCTAT